ATTCCTCCAGCATTAGCTCCAAAGGGCCCGAAAGAAGCGTCCACACTGAAGGGTGCACATAACACTCCCACTGCCTCTTCTCTGCCATGTTCAAAACAGTATCTCAAAGATGACAGGAAGGAGCACAGCTCTGAATCTCTCCCATGTGTGCAAACATCAGAAAAAATCAATTGCTTTCTCTAAAGAGTTAGTAATGTGTATGCAGCTCCTACATGCCCAGGAAAGCTGGCTGGATACAACTCTACGGCAGAATGTCTCCCACAGCCTCCCAGAGCGATACTGCTGCACACAGCTTGCTAGTGAATCTACAAGAGAACTCTCATCTTAAGCAACTGATAATAAGGGGAAAGTGAAGGGTCAACTGCTTCACTTTCCTTTCTACTGCAAAGGTACTGTAAAAGTCAGAAATTATAGTCCAGGTACGGCCAATTGTAAATGTAACAAATACTGCAGAAAATAGCTGAACATGGTACCTACATGATACCTCATGGTATCTTCAGAGCCCCGTCTGAAGATCTGCAGTCTGTGCTATCATGAAAACAATAGAAGATGACACCACAAGGGAGGGGCAGAGGAGGAGAGCACGCTCATGCAGTCTTTAGTGCTTGTTTTAACGGTTAAAAAAAGTATTTTTCTCCACAACTGTTCTCCGTTTAATAGACTATTCTGCATTTGATCCTAGAGCTACAGTTTAAGGTTATACAGAACCGTATGCAAACAGAGCTATACATTGCTATTTTATCCGAACGGTACTCTGTTCCTCTCTGTAACCAGATTAGTGGTATTCTGCGTTCTGATGAGAGTCACAGTGATGCTTAGTTTCAGAGTAGCAAAGAGGAAAAAACATTGGATTTATGGGAAATGGCTTGAGAATGGTATAAAGTGAAAGAATATTCAGAACAGATCTTTTCCAGTTTGACTATACATTATATGATACAGAGTGTGACAAAGCTCATGAAATTACAGCATAGGCAGCTGGTAGGATAATGGTGGTACCTTGGTTCATCTGTAAAAACATTTGCTACAACTCATTTTTGATCTGCTGCCTAAGTCTTTCACCTGGGGTCAGACAGGGAAGGTGTAGTAGGCTGAATAATGTGGAGGCTGCTTCATACTGGCAGCACGTGAAACCAGCATTGACTTCATGGCACTGGTTCTTAGATTTCTGTACCATATGGTACTGTGCTCTTTACTAGAGACTTACACAGCTCTACAGGCCTGTTTCTCCAACAACGTCTTTAAAGTTTATTCAAATTCATATTGATATGGCTGCATAGGAGTCTGGAAGAGAGTCAGACGAATGGCCGAAGCTGGCAAACTCAGCAAGCCGTTGAAAGGAAAACTTGGCAACCTCCCAAGATCACGGCTTGACACAAAAACAGAGAAATGTATGTCCACTGCCTTCCATCTATGTTTTTAGTCAAACAAATCCAGTGTGTCACACCAGCTCTACACATGCTTAAATCACATTGACTCTGTGCTCAGAAGAATCTTAAAGAATTAGCTCACTAGCTTTTAATGAGTATGTTTTGCCTTCAGAGAGGTACTTACAAGTAGCCCAAAGCCTGATACCTGTCACGGATGTCATTTGATACTGAAGTCCAAATGATCAGAAGCAATGTTTACGATCACTTTTGTTTGGACTGTATATATTTCTTTTGCCTATAAACACTGACACATGAAATTATTCACAGCAAAATAGGTATTGGCAACTGAAATAATGTTTTAATTACCTGCTTGAATATGTATAGCAGCATCAGTTCTTCTGTTCCTTATTTCCTTGTATTTCCTGCGAGCTTCATATCCTCTCCAGGCTAAAAATACAAAACCATGTGCTGAAAATAACATTTATTTAAGGAAGTGCTACAGAGTCAGAGATGTGCTGGAACTTTCATCCCTTCTGCCATAACCACTCCACCCCCACTCCCAGTACCTCTTCCCTACCCACATGTTGAACTCTCGGTTCGCGACTGCAGTATTCACAGCTCCACAACTTCAAACACTGTTTCACTTGTCCAAATTTTAATTGTCACCATGTGCTCACTGATGTCGTAATCCAAAAGGCAAAGGTGCGCAATCATTGGACACCAACCAGCAGTGCAAGAACTACCCTCCTCACACACCTCCCCCAAATTCAATATAAGGAAGCCCACTAAATTACTGATAATCAGCCTCTTGGGCCCACCCAATGATTTATGTTATCTCGAATTCTGGTATACATGAGGAAAGGGGGAGGAAGGAGAGAGGGACGAGCTACCGCATTTCTTCTATGTGCTGCATGCTAGTGTAGGAACACCTACCAACAATTCCATTTTGTGCATAGGCATTACATCTAAAATATTAAAATACAGATACTACCAATTACTAAGCTGACACCTCAGCAGTTAATCAACAATATTTGCACCAATTAGCAGAAGATAAAAGTACCTCTGGTTATTTTGATTTCATAATAAATTATTACAAATGAATAAATAACGTACATGCATTTTAACAACTTGAAATGCCAAGATACCCAGTGAAATATGGAATGTGAACATTTACCTGACTGTATGGCAACAGCACTATTTTCTCTTTTCCCTTTGACTTTCTTGTACCTCCTTGCTCCAAGCCATCCCTTGATATAGGCTTGCATGACTACAACCCTGCCTATAACTTCCCGCAGGAACAAATTTAACTGCTCTATATGGTAATACTTTAGAAAAACCTGAAATGGAACAATAAATTCAGTATTACATGCAGGTAGTAGCATAAGCTCTTGTATATTGCTTCTTAGTTAGTCTCGGTTCAACCTGTTTTATGGCATTGTTGTTAGGGTAAACTGCTAAAATAAAGTTGCTGATATTTTAGCAGTTCTGTCAATCAAATATTTGGTTTCAGTCCGCTTGTGGAATTTCATTTTTCCACTGATTATAATCACCCCATTGTAAAATAAGCCACACATTTACCCCTATGCCAAGCAAATTAATCAGGGGGATGTTTTCAGGTAATCAATAATTTTATAATACAGCCTTTCTTGACAGTGGGAGGATAAATCCTGAGGTGAATTTGTTGTTAGACAGAATATTGTCTAACCACATTATACTTCAGGAGGCAAATCATGTGGGTCCTTACGCACACTTCATATGGGTCTCATGCAGGAAAACTCTCCTTGCTTTTCTTTGGAGCATTGTGTAGAATACCTCAGGATATAGCACAATCTTCTTTTTGCTAAAGTCAGCCACCCCCATTTTAAACCATGAACAAACCATGTCTTGATAAAACAGCCAGAAGGATCTCATCTGAAACTCCACAGATAGACAATATATTAATCAGGTTCACACGATGGGCCAGAGTGTGACGTTTCCGTCATGGCATGATTAATAGCAGGAGGAACTTTAGGAGGGAACTACCACAACAGGCAATGACAAGTGTACTGTCTTTACTGAGGCAGCCATGTGGGAAGTGCACTTTGGGGAAGTACTCAAGGCACCCTTCCTCTTGCAGAACAAACTCACCTGGCTTGGGAGGGCACCTCCATAACCTGGGAGGCTAACTGGAGCAAGTTTCTTGCTCCTTTGTCCATGTATATAATACGTTGGAAACCAGTATTAGACTTGTTTTGCTAAAAGCAGGCACTACCCTGGAGAAGATATCAGCACGCTCTACCTTGGTTTTCCCAAGAATACAGTTGTCTAGTTTAGATTTCTCCAAAATGGCAAGACAATTTTCTCTGCTACCAAGCGGAGTCTCATGTGCCCTGAAAGCAAGGTAGTAATACCTGCAAAGTCGAATGACAAAGAAAGAGTTAACCAGTCAATAAACATGTACTTCCACTGCTATTCTCTATATCACAGTTGCATCTCTAAAACTCATGGGTCAAATCCTCACTTGCACTCAGTCCTCTTTTCATAAATGAGAAAGACAAACCCGTCCTGAGATGGTATGTGAGGATACACTTGACATAGGGGAGAAGTGGTACTGTAGTGCCTGTGAGAATCTGCTGCATTCTAGCAATCTCCAGTCAGTGTAATTACTCATAAAACTCTTTTGCAAACCAATGCTACTTAGAAGATACCCAAGGTCGCGCTGAATCTTTCAGGAAAACAAGGGAATGAATGACAGGAAGAAGAAGGAAAAGTGATACACATCAGAATAATAGAGAAGAGGGCAAAAATATAAACCTTTTGCATGATGTGTGTAAAATAAGTAGGCCATCTACACAGCTGCATAACATACTTCTGCACACTTATACATTACCAAAAGTCTGCAAGTTCTGTTGAACCTGCAGGTTCTGCAGGTGCTGCCCAGTATTGGACACTTACAGGTTCTGAAGTGGAAGAAAAGTCAAACCTATTACCAAGGAAGGAGAAAGGTACTGAAAGCATCATGACCTGATGGCTATTTCTCGTATCAGAAATGCCAGGAAAGGCTACTTCACCCCTAGAATCGTTCAACATGTTAGTCATTGGTATTTGGTCGTTTTCGCAAAGATATATAAGCAGTCTTGACATTCTTTGGGAAACGTAAATCCACCTAAGAACTCCCAGGGCTCTTGAGCTTGTAACAAGACCACCCCCCCCCCCATCAGTGGAATTCAGGGGATCTTTCCACTTTCAGTATGTCTAATAAAAAGATTGCAGATATTCAATCAGTGAACATAAAGGCCAGTGCTAGCAGGGTTTGCAATACAGTGTTTCCAGCTCACCGTCTGTATTAATGACACTGAACGATAATAGAAACTGAAAAGATGTCACTGTGTGTGAAGAATAAAGATTAGTTTACAGTCAAAATGCAAATGATACAGTCATATCAATCCTAATTTACAGAGAGCAGAACACTCAGATTGCACGAATGCCCACCTGTGTTTCATACCTCCAGAAAAGGTCATGTATGTACATAATTGAAATAATTGGCATTGCCTATCTTACCTGTAAGGATGTTATCAGTCTGTATGATTAAACAGAGCTCACAGCTCTTGTAAAGAAAAAAACAAGTGAATTACTCCTCTTATGAATTTAACCATTTGCTTTATTCACCAGGATTTCTGTGGTTGAGATAAGGTATTTAAGTCATTAGGCATGGTGGTTTTCTTTTCTGTTTGATTGGGATAAACAAGTATTTGGGAAGATTATGACTGATTTAATGGCTTTTGAATCAGGCCCATAGTAAACAATGGTAACTTTTGTTTTGTCCAAGTTTCCTTGTTTATATGCAAAGAATAGCCCCAAACAATTATGTAAAGCAAAATTACTGTCCAAGTAGTTAATGAAGAAGGGATGCAAACCATGTTTGAACTGAATAGATATTCAGAACGAATGCACCAATTTCTGCCTGCAAAGCCACTGCATGTTCACAGATGGTGGTTTTATAGTATATAAGTAACTCTATGCACAAGCTATTGTATTAAATAAGTAACAGCAGAACATATGCCAATTAGTTTACAAATTTAAGGTTATTTTATCACAGGTATACTGCTAGGTGGTAGCAACTGTCACCTCAACTCTAATTTATGAGCCGTTTGTCTTCTGTATTAAGTTATACTTCTAAAGGAACAACTCTATTTACATTGTGTTTGAGAGGAATTGGCAGGTTCAACAAACTGCTCTTTTAATCATTAACATGGGGAAGAATGATCAGATGTTCCTTAAAATACACAGAGGAATGTGACCAGTGAGCCTCAAAAATATATTCCTCTGTAGCCACATGAAGGCAAGAAAAAATCCTACCCTGCACTGAAGAAAATACGGAAAAGCAATTACAAAGAATGAAATAGTGGAGTACTTTTTTTTTTCTACTAGAATATGATTTTCAAATATTAGCTCCAGTTAATCTCTAGAGATTAGCTCCAGTTGTCACAAGAAAGAAAAAAGAACCACTAAAATAGTCAATAAAGATCAAAGGGGAACAAAATGATGTCTGAAGGCAGAAGCACTGGAATCAGTCCTAGGCCAGAGACATTCATTCAGCAGCTGAAGACACTGCCTACTCCAAATAAAAATAGGAGATAATGTATTATTGAGCTAAGGTTTTTAACACAGTGGTTTTCTCAGTAACATGAGAGTGCAAATTTTGTAGCCAAGTCTTTCAAAGTACAAATGCTGTGAGAGTCACAGCATTTAGCAGGTATGGAGAAACATGGCATATTTAAAAGAAAAAAAAAGGATTTCTCTCCGCTTTACCACTAACCTTAATGATGACAGCTTTTAGAAGACAAAAAGCATTCTGATTTGCTCTAATAAAACTCAGATTTAAAATATACATAACCCAACAATTAGTGATAGTGTGCAATTTCAACACATACATGACAGATGCTTCAGGGATGTTGCACCCATTGTAAATTGGTGTCTGTTTCAAAAGTCAGTTCAGATAGGTTATATGCATGTGCAAATGACATGACTAAGTAGCTTGTTTCCTTTCTTAGGAGGAAGGAAGGATTCAAGTGAATGCTAATATTGGTTTTCTGATTGTTCATGAATCTTTTAATGCACACTGTAGCTAGGATATTTACAAGGGTAACAGTTTTTAGACAGCACGGATGCAATAAAATAGCTAAAGAGGATCTCACAACTATTTAATCTTAATAACTTATCAGTGACATGCACTATTGAGAAACTGACTTCTTATTTGTGACAAACACTGACTACAAAGTATTTTGAGCTATGAATTTACACACTCGACCCTACAGTTCCGTTTATGACAAACTTTGATAACTTTCAAATTTAGTATCCCCTCCATCATTACCTCTCTTTCACTATCTAGAATGCATGTGTTTCTGCTACTTAGAAAAAAAAACTGTAAATAAAATAATGCTAGTTTCTCTCATCAAATCCTATTTTACCAAATCTTGTTTTGACTAAATTCAGATTTGTCTTGTAAAAAAAACAAAACAACAACCCCCCCCCCCCCCCAAATCTACTGAGAAAGACAGAGACTTTTACAAACCATGGGAATAACTTCATTTTCTGTACATAACCACGTTGTCTTCCAAAATTTCATTAAAAATTCCTCTGAATTGTGTTTTTCCTAACTTAGTTTACTGATCCAATCACTGCACAGAAGACTCCTGTAACTGGTTAAATATGCTTGGGTGTCAGAATCTCAGCATCAAGTGTCCCTGCTCCTTTTCAGTTATGTTGTCAGATATGAGGGCAAAAGGGACTCTACTTAGCAGAAATAAGGACTACGAGATTGGCAATTTCCTTTTGATTACTTGTCCCCCAGAACTGGCTTTGGAGTTTGCACTGTGCCCAGTGAAGGGTCTCTAGATTAGAACCCTGAAGTTCAAATTCTTATTTATTTATTTATTTTTAGCAAATGCTCTGTTTTCCATCTGGTTCCTGTTTCCATGACTCAATCGCATAACTACAGATGCACAAGCAGTTTGACATGATGCGCTCAGGATACCTCTACTGGACCGGAACGCAACATGTGCCACATAGGGTCATCCAATTACTTTACTTAACTGAAAAATCTTTATATGGCAATGGAGTATATGTAATATTTTATAAGCAGGTAAAATCTTTCACCTTAATGCATCTGATCAAAAAGTGCAAATCTTGTATATGGTGTATACGGTACGGCAAATGTCTGGGTATGTACCCAAAACTTTGGAGAATATGCAAGTAGAATTATGTTCATTTTGATTTATCGGCTTATAAATCTAAACCTACTGTACAGAAATTACAAAGTGACCTGTATTTACATCATTTCACCAAGAGAAGAAATAAAATCCTTGGTTTTAGAAAAGTAAGGCTAGAAATCACATTCACACTTCCAGGTGAGATCGAAATTTCCCAACTCTACTTTTCTTATTTCCGTATTTGCATTTGCGATTCCAGTAGAAAATGCAGTGATCCTGAACACTCCAGGGCTCTTCTAGGTTAATTTATTTATTAATGTTTATTTCAATGTTTAAAAATAAAGTTTATAGTTCTTCATGTGTTGTTTCATAATCATGGAAAGTCTTAATGCAAGAATAATGAGCTTAGTACTACTAGTACTTAGAACTACTGAAAGAACACTGGTAGTTTCACCATAACTCACTCTGGATTTAAATCAGACACTCATTATATTATTTTGTTTTAATGCACACAAATATTCATGAAGGACATATATTGCAAAATACTTCACCTTAAAGTATTTGGAAGTAGAGATGAAGAAATATTTCTACATGTTTTGGAAATAAATGTAATAGGACTTAAAGAAAGACTGCCTAGATAAGAAAGAACAATAGTCTTACTACCGGGCAGCTTTCTCAAATGGCTGCAGGTTAAAGTAATGCTGTGCCTTTTTAAAAAGTAAGATACCACCTAGATGGGATCTTACCACGACTTTGCTGTATTTGAATACAACAATAACCATAAAGACCTTACAAACAACCTTGTATGAGATCTGAGACATACTTGAGAATGCAAATGGGGGATAAAGCTGGTAGGGTTTTCTCCTTTTGATGCATATGGTTACTCTTACTAATATTACTGAGTATCTGAGTAATCAGAGCCAAAACCATTCCCACACTTAATAAATAAACTGTAGTATCTCCATGTAACCGGTAATACTGCTTTAAGTACTATATGGTTTTATTCTTTTTGCAGTAAAAACATTAAATATGTAAGTGCTTTATTTATGCCAAAATAGCCTTTCCTAAAAGTACTTGACTAATCACATTCTCAGTAGCAGTATGACTAAGTAAAAGAGAAGCAATTCTTCCTCAGAACTGATTCCTCAGCGCTGAGGAAACCCTCTCTGGAGTTATGCATTTTTAATCAACGGTACTTA